GTGTGAGCAGCAGAGGAGCTGCTCTCCAGGCTTCAGGCGCAAAGAGCTGCATGCCACCGAAAGCGCTGCACACAAGTCAACTACTCGAAAACCTCCTGCGGGCGGGCGGGGGGGGAGGGGGGGCGAGGGTAAGGTAAGGTTAGGACTTACTCTAGCGGATAGCCCCATGTGTCCTTTTAAAAAGATTTTTGTCCTATCTAAAAGGACAGGTTCTTGAAGGGCGCCACGCGCCCCCGCTCGCCGGCCCAGGCGTACCTCCCGCACTCCACTTGCCCTTCGCAACTTCCCCGTGCCCGGTGGTGCCGGGGGACGGCAGTCGCGGCCTTGTTTTGGACGTTACGTGCCGCCGCGTTTCGATCACCGATCACCGTCTGAGAGAGAAGTCCTGAGAGAACTCTCCAAAGCCGGTGATCGGTGACCAGGTGACCGGCCGGTGATCATGCAGCTAGTGGGTGGTGCCCCGACCGACGTGAGCGTCATCAACGCCCGCAAGTACCACCTTACGTACGCCGCACTCGGCCGCGGCGAGCTCTCGAATGAAGACGTGCTGAGCCAGCTCACCGTCAAGCGAGGGGTCCGAGAGTACTGCATCGGCAACGAGCTGCACGCTGACCCCGCCGACCCATTGCTGGACGAGCACAAGCACGTCTACGTCTACTTTCTTGAGCGAGTTCGCATCCGCGACTGGCGCTACTACACCGGGTTTGACCTGGAGGGCAGCGACGGGCGCAAACTGCACCCGGAGATCCAGCAGGTGAAGGACACGGCGGGCGACCGACATCGCGTGATCCAGTACGCTCGCAAGCACGGCAATTACATCGAGGACCTGGAGACGAATGTCAAGGGCGGGCGGCGCGAGATCCCACCGTGGGCCAAGACACTCGACGCCGCAACAACGGTACGCGGCGGCATGAAGGCGCTCGCCGACAAGCACTCGGATTTCTACTACCTACATGGGTCGAAAGTGCTCCCGATGCTGCAGGCGCGAGTTGGGACTGGAGACTATCGGCTTTACACGCTCGAGGACTTCACCGAGACCATCGAAGGCAAGCCAAGGGAAGATGTGATGGGTTGCCTGACCAGCGAGCCGATTGTCATCTTTGGCGAGTCCAACATCGCTAAGACTGCCTTCCTTGAGGCATACTTCAAGAAGCCGCTCGTCGTCTCAGAGATGGATGACCTAAAACAGATCAGCTGGGACACAGATGCAATCATCTTTGATGACATGGACTTCACCAACCTGACTGCTGAGGCGACAATCCGACTGCTCGACATGGAGCGTTCACGGAGCGTCAAATGCCGCTACAACAACGGCACTCTCCCGCAGTACATGCCACGCATCTTCACCACCAACAGCCAGCTGACAGAGGAGGACCACATATTTCCTCGAGGGCGCAACGCCAAGCAGCAGCACGCAATTGATCGCCGCTACCGCAAGATTGGTCCGCTGACAGAGCCGCTGCAGCGACTGGGACGCAAGCTCACACCGGGCGAGCTCATAGTGAAGAAGATGGTGAAGGGAGTGCTTGGGCGCGTGACCAAAGGCGCCAGAGGTGCCAAGCGGCCTGCTGCGCCCCCCTCCCAGGCTGCAGCCCCCCCCCCACGCAAGCGGCGGGTGATTGTGGACAGTGATGAGGACTAGCGGTCGTAAAGGACAAACGGTTGCGGGTACGTCTTGGGTCGGTTTTGAATGTGCTTGCTCGTGCTGGGTGGTAACCCCGCGGCCTGGAGGGTGTCAGGTGGACATGGTAGCATACCTCAATGCCCAGGCGAGGCTTGCAGAGAGCTCAATGGGAGCGACAACGCGAGATCAAGTTGTCCTTTTGTAAAGGACAAGTCCTTTAAAAGTCATCGGCCTATCCGCTAGGTAAGGTACGGGGTGTGGACCCTAAGTTGACCAGGGGTTGTGCGCTGGGCCCTCCTGCTCGGCTCCAGCCATTACACAAGTCTTACAGCTGTGGCAGCCGCACAGTAGGCTGTGTCAACTGTGCAGAGTGTGTGAGCAGCAGAGGAGCTGCTCTCCAGGCTTCAGGCGCAAAGAGCTGCATGCCACCGAAAGCGCTGCACACAAGTCAACTACTCGAAAACCTCCTGCGGGCGGGCGGGGGGGGAGGGGGGGCGAGGGTAAGGTAAGGTTAGGACTTACTCTAGCTAGGTAAGGTACGGGGTGTGGACCCTAAGTTGACCAGGGGTTGTGCGCTGGGCCCTCCTGCTCGGCTCCAGCCATTACACAAGTCTTGTCATCAACAGAGTAGATGGATCTGACCTCGGGGCCGATGTGACCAAGCGCTGGTAGCGTGGTTTTACCTCACACCCACGGTCTCACAGTGTGCCGGCAGTCGCCGACGCCGCCGAGCAGTGTCGCTCACACAAGCCGCAGCACAAGTGACTGAGGGCCAGTGAGGGCGAGCCCATCGCTGTCACAGCTGTGGCAGCCGCACAGTAGGCTGTGTCAACTGTGCAGAGTGTGTGAGCAGCAGAGGAGCTGCTCTCCAGGCTTCAGGCGCAAAGAGCTGCATGCCACCGAAAGCGCTGCACACAAGTCAACTACTCGAAAACCTCCTGCGGGCGGGCGGGGGGGGAGGGGGGGCGAGGGTAAGGTAAGGTTAGGACTTACTCTAGCGGATAGCCCCATGTGTCCTTTTAAAAAGATTTTTGTCCTATCTAAAAGGACAGGTTCTTGAAGGGCGCCACGCGCCCCCGCTCGCCGGCCCAGGCGTACCTCCCGCACTCCACTTGCCCTTCGCAACTTCCCCGTGCCCGGTGGTGCCGGGGGACGGCAGTCGCGGCCTTGTTTTGGACGTTACGTGCCGCCGCGTTTCGATCACCGATCACCGTCTGAGAGAGAAGTCCTGAGAGAACTCTCCAAAGCCGGTGATCGGTGACCAGGTGACCGGCCGGTGATCATGCAGCTAGTGGGTGGTGCCCCGACCGACGTGAGCGTCATCAACGCCCGCAAGTACCACCTTACGTACGCCGCACTCGGCCGCGGCGAGCTCTCGAATGAAGACGTGCTGAGCCAGCTCACCGTCAAGCGAGGGGTCCGAGAGTACTGCATCGGCAACGAGCTGCACGCTGACCCCGCCGACCCATTGCTGGACGAGCACAAGCACGTCTACGTCTACTTTCTTGAGCGAGTTCGCATCCGCGACTGGCGCTACTACACCGGGTTTGACCTGGAGGGCAGCGACGGGCGCAAACTGCACCCGGAGATCCAGCAGGTGAAGGACACGGCGGGCGACCGACATCGCGTGATCCAGTACGCTCGCAAGCACGGCAATTACATCGAGGACCTGGAGACGAATGTCAAGGGCGGGCGGCGCGAGATCCCGGTCACGCTGGGGGGCTTACGCGGTCTAAGATCGGCGGGAGCCTCTTTTATGCGGGCTAACAAAGTCGGCCGTAAATAAATAAAAACGGTCAAACTCTGAGACGAGATGGGATTTAGGGACATGTGTCCCCGCCCTTCACGATCTTGGTGTGAGGGATCTTCAGGCGACGGCGAGGCTGAGGGGGGTGGCGACGGCGAGGCGGAGGGGGGTGGCGACGGTGAGGTAGAGGGGGGCGGCGGCAAGGGCGAGGGCGGCGGCGACGGAGAGGCGGAGGGGGGCGGAGAGGGCGAGGCGGAGGGGGGTGGCGACGGCGAGGCGGAGGGGGGTGGCGACGGCGAGGCTGAGGGGGGTGGCGACGGCGAGGCGGAGGGGGGTGGCGACGGTGAGGTAGAGGGGGGCGGCGGCAAGGGCGAGGGCGGCGGCGACGGAGAGGCGGAGGGGGGCGGAGAGGGCGAGGCGGAGGGGGGCGGAGGGCTCGGCGAATATATCGCCTTGTTCATACACACCGCTTCCATAGCGAGGCAAGCCACGCTCGACCTCCACCGCACATTCGACAATTCGATCGACTCATCTTTCGTTAAGCAATACGCCGGGTCCTTGGCGCTGTGGATATAAAATGAGTTGACGTTGCCGGTTTGCGCGTACGCGCTGTAAGCCACCATCGAGTTTTTGGATATGGAAGAACCAGGCTCAGAGTTAAACCTGATAAGGTAATTGGAATCGCCATTTTCCTCGTCACTCAACGAGCCCTTCGTGTGTATATCTCTCGCAGGACCGCCGTCCACCGCGGTGTAAAGGTTGAAGACATCATCGCGGCCAGGCACGGGCCGGAGAATCTCGAAGGATTGTTCAAATTTGTCACAGAGGCCGTATGTCCAAATTACGTTGACGCCGTTCAAATATCCGCCAGTGCTGCCCATACAATAATCGAGCCCTCCAACGCTGTTCGTAAACACAACCGTTTCAGTTTCCTCGTTGCAGAACGTCGCTGGGAGGGGGGGCGCGGGCGAAGGCGGGGGACTGGGCGGGCTGGGGGCACTGGGGGGGACGAGAGATGCCAAGACACAACTGTCCACTGTTGCGTCTGGAGATCCTGGCAGGCTGTATTGACTTTCATTTTGGAGTTCGCACCTATGGCTTGACCCGCCATCATTATAGAACTGAAATGCCACGCACGATGGCCCCATGGTGCCTCCGCACATTTGGGCACACCAGTCGATGTCGATGGCGGGAATGAAGCTGAAGAAGGCGTTTCCGACCTTGGTATTTTCAAAGCACGCGTAGTCGCTTAAATCTCTAGCGGTCAGCGACATGTCAGCCACCACCACGGGAGCCAGTGGCGGTGGCGGCGAGGGCGTCGCGGCGGACATGTGGAGCGGTCGGCCGTCGGCTAAGGGAACGCCCCAATTTTCGCAGGTCCAAATTTGTGACTGCCGTTTTTGCAATTACGGAATTTGGCGTTTGTCTACCTCTAGTTCTTTGTTTATTTAAAGGCTAAAAGGGGCACTCGCTTGCTTTTTTTCGCTGCAGCCCTGAATAAATAAAACTTACAAATCTACTAGGAGATGGGTAAAAGCCCATGGGTTTTCGCGGCGGCGAGTTTCTTTTTCGCGACCCCGCGAAATTTCCTTTTCGACGCCCGTTGCGTTTTTTTTCGAAATAAGGCATCTATCTAGAGAAGATCAGGTAATCTGACAAGGCCAGCACGGAGCTTCCCCTCCTGGCTTGCATCGCCGATCTGGCCTCCTCGACTGAATCGCGGCCCATGACTCCTCGCGACGCCATAGCGCCTCGTTGCGCAAACGGCACCTGAAGGACATAATTTTGCACCTCGATGTCGTTGCGCAAGCACGCCTCGTTTGCGACGGCGGCCCGATCGCAAAGCCGGAGGTTGAAGGGTCTACAAACGTGGAGGCGGCTGTTGGGTTAAGGAGGACGGAGGCAACAGCGTCCAAGCCCCCGGGTAGCATCCGTGCAGTCCGGGCGGGAACGCCGCACGAGAATTTGACGTGGTTGACGCCCACCAGGCCCAATAGCAGCCCTTGGGGGTGCTCGGCGAGCCAGGCGGCGGAGGCGGACGCCATCGCTTCGTCCCTCAGGCTCTGGCGCGTGAGAAAGTTTGGGAAGCTGATGGTCCGCGCGTCGTCGGTGGAGGCGGTCATGCGCTGGCCGGCCCTTCGCATCAGCGTGAAGGGCGGCCGCAGCGTGTAGGACACATACTCCTCGAAGGCCCTCGTGCTTCCGAATCGCTCGAAGCCATCGCCGTCCGGCACGTACTGGCGCCGCTTGGCCGGCTCGAGGGCGCCGCCCAGCTCCACCTTGGCCTTGTCCTCCGAGTCCATGTCGAGCGCCAGCATCGTCACACCGTGCGTGCGGCAGATCCGGAAAATGGGCGCATACGCCGCGAAAGACCAGTACCACCGCCTCTCCCACTCGGTCGCAGCCACCAAGCCGGCCTCATCGAGACGGCCGGCGAGGTAGTCGTCGAGCGCCGGCTGGAAGCGCTGCTGCACCGCCTCCAAGCCGACGGCGAGGGGCCTGCGTGTGGTGCGCCGGAGACCATAGCCAGCCAGGAGACACGGTTTCGGGTTGGTCGAGCGCCGTGCCGCCCAAAGAGGCCGAGCGCCTAAAGAAGAAAAACGCCGGTTCTTAAAATGAAGTCGGGACACGGCACACGTATCTCATGACACGCCGGCACTCGGAAACTCGTACGTTCAAGGTTGCCGCTGTTGAGCTTCAGCCGCTGTTGAGCTCCAGCCGCTTTTGAGCGCCACGTCTTGAAGCAGCCGAACTCGCAATGGGCTGCGGCACGAGCAAGCCGGGTCTGACCTACGAGGAGAAGCTGGAGCTGTGGCGCAAGCTCGGCGGCGGCGACCTGGAGCCGGTCCTCGCGAGCGGCGCCGTCGCACTCCTCGACGCGCAGTGGATCATCAGCCACGCCGAGGCGGGGGGCGTCCTCACTCACCGCCAGGCGCTGCCCAAAGAGGCCTTCCTATCCCTCGCCGACCTCGTCGAGGCGATCAGCTATGCGGACTACCTTCCCGTCGGAGCGCTCTCGTACCCGTGGCTGACCAAGGACCACCCCGACCCGCGCGGAGCCAACCTCGCCCGCGTCGCAAGGGCGCTCAAGGCCCTGCTCAGCGGCACCTACGGGGATGGCTCGGCAAGATTCACGCGGCTCGGTGTCTTTTGGGACTTCGGCTCGCTGCACCAGCACCCCGACCCTCTCAACGGCGTCATGCGCACCGAGGAGCAGAACGCGCTCTTCAAGCAGGGGCTGGGCTGCCTCGGCACGCTCTACTCTCACCCGCACACGTTCGTGCTGCGGCTGACCTCCTTCCCGGACGGCCACAAGGCGGAGGACCAGGCCGAGGGCACCAACGTGGCCAAGTACTTTGACCGTGGCTGGTGCTCCACCGAGAACGCCTGGGCGAGCCTGACCAAGGCCTTCGCCCTCTCGCTCGACCTCGGCAAGATGCGCGACGGCAAGGAGTACGACTACTACAGCCTCATGCTCGACTGAGTTCAAGGGTTTCGCGGGGAGTGACTCCATGCCCGCATGCCATGGTCCATGGTGTTGGCCCATGCGTCAAATTCGCAGGCGAATTTTGTTCGTTTATACTATAATAATACAAACGAATGGTCACTTGTCGCAGTCACACACACACACACACACACACACACACACACACACACACACACACACACACACACACACACACACACACACACACACACACACACACACACACACACACACACACACACACACACACACACACACACACACACACACACACACACACTCACACACACACACACCGCACCGCTTGACCGCAGACCGCACCGCAGTCCGCAGACCGCAGGTCCGCACCGGCCACCGCGCCCGCGGCGCCCCGCCGGCCCCCGCGCGCGCACACGCCCTGCTTCGCCCTCCGCTCCCCCTAGGTGTACCTGTGTTAGTGCCAGTGCGCGCCAGTCCCGTGCCCAGTGTCGTGCGAGGGAGTTTTTTTGTTCTTTTAGCGCGCTCGCGAGCAACAAGCGTTAAATTCTTTTAAATTCTTGTATGAAAATTCTTTATTTTCGAACAGCATAACACACACACACACACACACACACACACACACACACACACACACACACACACACACACACACACACACACACACACACACACACACACACACACAAACGGCCCCAAATGACGTGTGAGTGTTAGAGTTGTTTGGTATTGCTAAAAATCTCCACACACACACACACACACACACACACACACACACACACACACACACACACACACACACACACACCGCACCGCACCGCTTGACCGCAGACCGCACCGCAGTCCGCAGACCGCACCGGCCACCGCGCCCGGCGCCCCGCCGGCCCCCGCGCGCGCACACGCCCTGCTTCGCCCTCCGCTCCCCCTAGGTGTACCTGTGTTAGTGCCAGTGCGCGCCAGTCCCGTGCCCAGTGTCGTGCGAGGGAGTTTTTTTTGTAAAATTCTTTTATTTAGCGAGTAAGCGGCGTTACATTCTTTGGTTTCCGAAATTCTTTATTTTCGAACAGCATTTGCATTATGTCGGACGACCACTCCTCGACACCCCGCTCCGCACTCGCGGAGATCTCTCCAGGCCAGCCCTCCTCCTGCAGGGCCGGCGGCGGCGCGCGTTTGGCGTCCGCCGCGTGCACTCCCGACTTCACCACCCGCTACTCTGACGGTGGCACCGCCGTCGCGGGATACTCTCCGTTTGGCTGCTGCTCGCCGCCGTCGCCGTTTGCGGGCGGCACTCAGATTCAGTTTGGCGGCACGCAGTCGGAGGATGACGAGACCGAAGCAGCCGCGACGCAGCTCCTCGGCGGCACACAGCACGAGCCCCTCGAGTCGGCAGAGGGAGAGCCTGAGGAGGAGGAGACCGAGGAGGAGGAGACCGAGGCCGAGGAGGAGCCCGACTTGCCCGACGCGAGCAGCGGAGTGGAGGCGGAGGGGACAGAGGAGGCGGCGGCGGCGGAAGAGGCGGCGGCGGCGGCGGCGGCGGCGACCTCCTCCGGGCCGCAGTCCTCGCCGGAGCGGGCGTGGCTCCTGCGTGAGGTCGAGGCCTTGCGCGGCACGGCTGCGCAGCAGCAGGACGCGATGGCGCGGCAGCAGGACGCGATGGCGCGGCAGCAGGCGCAAATCGCAGAGCTGTCCGCAAAGCTGGCGGCGCTCGAGCCGCCTCGGGCCGACGGCGCGTCTCGCCCGCCTCCGGCGGCGGCGCGCCCTCGGCCTGCCGCCAAGCACACACACACACACACGATTCATACTCGCTGTCGTAGCGCTGGTCCAATGCGTGGTGCAGTCAGGTCAGGGTGGTACGTAGTAACGTCAATGCTCGGTCTTGCGTCTATGCTGTTGCGTATTGAGGTCCTCAACTGGTCTAAGTTGGTTTACGTTTGCTCACAGGGGGGGCTGGGGTGAATACGACTCTCCGTCGCACTCACGGTTCCTGGTCCGGAGCCGCCGCGGCTCGGGACTAAACGACAGGGCCTCTCCGATGAGGCCCACACACGACTCCGTGCGGCGTTCAGGGAGTTCGTTACACACAATGGGACCGCCCGTCCTCCTCAATTCGATTATCGGGACCCCCGGGGTCGTTACATGCGCCTCGTCACTCCGTTCTTCGAGGCGGTCGAGGCGGGCGACCTCGACGGCTGCGTCGCGTTGCGTCGCGCGGGCGCGTCGGTGAGCGCCGCCGACCGCCAGCGTCTTCGCCGGTCTTCGCCCGTCGCCCCCCGTCGGTCGGCAACCGCCTCCGAAAGCCCGAAGTAACCTCGGCCCACCCCTACGGCTGTCCCTTTCGCCTATCTCTTAAGTGGCGGCCAGAAGATCCGCCCTGGGATCTTCGGCGCAGGGCGCCGTCACCGGCCCCATGAGCCCCTACGAGGCCATTCAGTGCTCATGTGGCACGGCCTGAGCACGCCTAGCAATGCCTCGGGCCGCGGCGCCCAGAATTGTTGGTGCTGGCCAGCAACGTGGCCGGCGAGTGCCGTCGTTGCATTGGTGGCGACCACCGCTGAAGCGGTCAGCAGGTGGGAAGGCATCGCTCTCTGGGGCGGCCCCACGACCCTGCAGTCGTTCCAGTGGCGGGGGTGGAAATGGCAGTGTGGGTGGCGGAAACGATGGCGGCACTGGCGGCCGCACCGCCTGGTGTGGAGCCTCAGGGGCGGCCCCTCGACCCAGCGGTCGCTCCAGCGGCGGGGGCGGAGGTGGTGGTGGCGGGGGCGGGCCTGGTGGCGGTACCGGCCGCCGCCCCTCCTGAGGCGGGGCCTCGGGGGCGGCCCCCTGCCCCTGCGCTCGTTCTAGCCGCGGTTCCACTCGTCGGCCGTCTACCCCGCCCAAGGGGGGGGGGCGAGCTCTCGACTTCCCTCGAGGAGAGGGGGGGGCAGGGCCTGGATCCGTTGACGGTCCCGCTTCTCCCTCCCGTTGCACTGCGCCAGGCCGTAGACTGCCCAGTAACCGCGTCGCCTCTCCCCGCGCCCGGTCCTTCTCGATTCGGTCCCGCACCGCCCGAATATCAAAGGCCGATGAGGGAGTAGTTTTTTTCAGCGCAGGCTGTGCATGCCCACATCTCCGCCCCCTCTCGAGGAGCTCGTGGCCAAGCACACCTTCCTCGGCCCGTTGCTTCCGCCTCCTGCGTTTGACGTGCCGAGCGCCCTCCGGCGGCTGTCTCTTCCTCCGCAGCTCCAAGGGCCTGCCACCCGGCCGGGCATCCGCAGCGAGAGCCTGGCCGTCGGTCGCGCGCTCGGTGGGGTCGACAAGGCGACCGCAGAGCGCTGGCGAATCATCGCCGGCCGACCGGATCTGCTCGAGAGCACTGCTCGCGCCGTCCAATCCGTGCACATCTTACCCTTCTCCGGCAACCGGGCGAGCTCGCGGCGCGCCACTCGCTTCATCGTGCCGAACGGACACCGCTCCCTGCTCAAGCCAGACACGCCGCGCTGGGCGCTGCTGACCGCCCTCGCGCGGTGCTTCGTCCGGCAGCAGGACGAGGGCGAGCGCGAGCACCTCGCGCGCTGCTGCCGCTTCGACGCGTGGGCTTATCAGGCGCCGCTCGACAAGCCGGCAATCGCGCTGGTGATCCTGCTCATGATGGCGTGCTACGCGGAGACGGAGCCCGAATTCCCGCCGCTTGAGCTGTCGCTGCGGGTCAGAGACGGCATCCGCCCCGAAGACGACAGTCACGCGTCGCGCGACCCCACGGCCTACTGCCTCATGGAGAACTGTGCGTGCTCTTTCACCCCTTCCCACCCCCCTGCGTTTCTTGCAGCCAGCCCTCCCCCCCCTCGCCCCAGGCCGGCACTGGGTGCGACGCACGGAGGTGGACCAGCTGTTCGCACATCCCCACCCGTGCTGCCCGCTGTGCGGCGGCGCGGTGAGTTTCGCGTGGCAGTGCGGGGCGACCGAGGTACGCCCGTACGCCATTAGTCGGCGTTCGCCCCCATGGATTGTGGTGCCCTGCACGGCGGCTACTGAAAGCAGCCGGCTGCTGCGCCCCGATCAGGTGATCTTCCCGACGCGTCGCTCTTCAGTAGCCGAGGACGGAGGTAATCAGGACGAGTCCCAAGAGCTCGCCTGAGCGAAATCCCGCCCCAGGCTCACTCTCAGCCGCCAAACGACAGCGATCAGCGTTCGTTCGCAAGATGCTGCCTGTGCGCAGCGCCGCTATGTTGAGCCGAAAAGAAAATATATCCGGAGGTGTGTGTGTGGTGGCGGCAGCAGGTATCTCTTAGGTGGCGAAGATCCCAGGGCGGATCTTCCAGCCCCTTTCGGCCGACCGCAGCGCGGTCCTACGGCCGCTGGTAGAGGGTGCGCAGCGTCCTAATCTAAAATCTGAGGATTCAGGATTCAGGCATCGCTTCAGTGGAGCCAAAGTGAGTTGATGGATGTGTGAGAACGGTACGGGACACGAGGAGGCACGCGGACCGACTCGTCGGCGACTCTGCTGCACGCCGTTTCAGAATTTTTCTCAGCGTGAGCGAGACGTGGAAGAGTGCCACCGTCGGGTAGGACGGGTCGGCCCGGAGTATCAGAGTAGCCGTCGTGGTCATGGTGAGCAGCGCCGGCCACTCCGGCGCCGCGTCGGCACCGTGGGAGCATGTCCACCGCCACTTCTAGAGGGGGCGCTCCGCTGCTAGGGGAAACCTGGAGCGCGGACTAACCCTCGGAGACCCGTGTTTACTTTACGGCCCTTTCCCTGCGAACGCGCACCCCCTGGGCTAGGGCTCTCTTGCCCGCAACCCGATGCCAATCATCCGGCCCGCTGGGTGCGCTTCTGAGCTCCCCGGCCCTGGATGTGCGGTTAATGACTGCACTCCAAGTGCTCCAAGTGCTTAGTGTGGGTAAACGAAAGTAGCGTATACGCTACTATGAAAGAAGAAGCCGAAAAAAGACGCCGGAGTGGGTCCGCCCGAGCCGGCCAGCTGCCGGCTCGCACGGCAGCCTCTTCCTCTCGACCAGCCTCAACTTCCGTACAGTCAGCATTTTGTCGCTGCGTGCTCGTGGCCAGCTGTGGCGGCGGTCGAAGTTCGCCCAGGTTCGGTGACGAGCGCCAGACGATAGTAGTGTCTCTGTTCGCCCTGTGCATGTCAGGCCAGGCTGCAGCAGGGCACTACCATCGTGCTGCCCTGTTGCAGCCTGACTTTGCCCACTGTGCACCGTCGCCAGAGCATCACCACCGCCCGGCATCGTGTCACGGCGAGCTCCTTCTGCGCCCGCTCGCGAGGCTCTCGCGCTGGCACACTTTGGCCATCTGCTGCTCGCGTTCGGCGAGCTCATCTCCGCACTCCTGCCACGGTGCCGTCACCACACACCTTCTGGCCGGCCTGAGCCGCGCGGGGTCGCCGGCGGGGGCAACGCGTCGACCTCTCTCTCTGGTGCACCACGGGCCGCAACGGCCTGCTAGCAGCGTGCGCGAGGAGGCAGTGTGCCGGCACAGTCGAGCCGGAGCATCGGGTTCTTGATGCTTGTGGGGTCAAGTCTGACCTTATGCGGCCTAATATGCAATAATAATGCTCTTCTCTCACCCAGTCTTTTGATATTATCCCTCAAAGTCGAATTTTCGTTTACTGGTGACCATAGTAGTGTCTTGTTTGCGAGATCTTCAAACGAATACTTTAAAGTCTCGACAATCACTAAGCTGCTTATGTGGCACCGCAGAGGCTCCCTTGGGGATGCCTGAGGCCAGCCCAACCACTCACTAAGCCGTACGTAGACGAATTGGGCGCTACTTTTTTCGTTTACCCACACTAAGGGAGTAAACGTTGGGGGGTTTTGCTAAGCGTATTTGCGCCTCCGTATTTGCAAATACAGGCGAACAAATACGGCACGTGAAATCGAGTGTTTTGCTAGCGTATTTGCCGGATGGCCGTATTTGCGGCGTCAAACCCAAGTTAATGCAAGGAGCTCTTTGCAAAAATGTCGTGCACACATGTATACATGTCCATAAATTATTCACAAACGAATGCTCACATGCGACATGGCAGGTAGCCGCATATGCGCCACGCGCCCCAACCGCTCCTCTGGTCGCCGCCGGCCTCCGCGGTGGCGGCGATGTCGCAGCGCCATGCGCGGGACTGAAATCCCCCAAATCCTCTCAGCTCGAAGGGGGAATTTATTTGTTTGGGGGGTGTTCGACCGGGCTATCCCTGAGATGGTTGGGAAGGGGGTGGTTTCACTGCGTCTAGGTAGAACATGTTAGGAGACGAACAGATCGGTCGGCCCGCGGCGAGCGGAGAAGACGGGCACTGGACCAGGAAGACTGGGAGAGTGTAAATGGAGGCGGGACACGTCTGTTCAGACGCGCATACCGCGCCTCCCATCGAGATCGACTCCCACCGCTATCTAGGCGATTAGGGCCTCCCCACCGGCTATGACCAGGGCTCAGGTTTTGCATGACCTGATCTGTGCCTGCCAAGCTGTGTTTTGCCTTGTGTATGTTCTCTCAGGATGGGGTTGTGCTTTTGAGTGAAGTCGGAAATGCGGGGAGGTACAGCATGCGGCCCCATTGCAGGGAGGTACAGCATACGTTGCTCACTGTGGGCCTGTGGGGGTGTGGGGGGTGGGGAGGGGGGGTTAGGCTTTTGCAGGTGGGGAGGGGGGCCCTCTCAAAGATCTCTCCAGGATCTCACGACTCTCCAGGAATCTCACGACACAGCCGTCAAGTGACGGAAGGGCAGTACACAGCCAGTGCAGGACGGTCCACAGCCATGCAGCCATGCAGTGGTACGCACCCTCAGCAGTACGCACCCTCCGAGGGCAGTACACAACTGGAAGGCAGTACACAACTAGCACAGGATGGCACACAGCCATCCTGCTGGTGATGCAGACGGAACGCACCCTGGGCGGTACGCACCCCCAAGTGCATTGTGGGGTGTTGCGGGCAGAGGCAGTCCTGAAGCTGAAGGCTGCCTTGTAAAACTCATTGAACTCGTCACACAAAGTCCAGCTGGTGGTGCTCGGTACGCACCTGCTACATTGGGGCGGCGTGGGTCAATCTCAGCTCAGTCTGGACGCGGCAAGCTCAGCTCCATCTCGGTCTCAATCTCGGCTCAATATGGTGATCTCAGCAGAGGACAGCTGTGCTCTCACAACTCATGTGCACAGCAGGCCTTGTGATGCGTGTTGGGGCAAGGCATCACAACACGAAGGGTCCACAGCCAGAGGTAGTGGTGTGCGCACCTCGGTCCACTATAACGTCGCAGGCACCTGCGCAAGAGGGGCGAGGGGGCTGGTCAGATGGTGTGATGGCCATCAGCAATGGGCTCCCACACACTGTACTCGGGTTAGCTGCAGGGCGCAGGTGGGCTGTGCGCCCGGATGAGCTGTGGGATGCAGGTCCCGTCGGGCGCGCGCGCGCGCAGAAGAGGGGCAGGCTGGGAGAGGCGCGCCTTGAATCGCGTGCGCAGCTCGTACTCGCCTCGGTACGAGAGAGTCCAGCTCCGTGTCCGTCCTTGAGGCGTGGCGGAGGCGGCTATCCGAGCCCTGCAGGCGCATCAACACCCCAGGGAGGGCAGACGCGTCCAGGACGGAGGCACACCCCACACGCACGCCTCGCGGCCACGGCGCCCGCCGCAACCGACGCCGCTCCGCATCTGACCCGAGCGTAGCCCGCCCCGCAATCCGTCGCACACGATGCGTCTGGCGCACGGGGGTGAAGCGCAGCCCGGCAGAACCTGCCGTGCACGCGAAAACAAAATCCGCACGAAAAAGAAAAGGACCGATGCACTGATTGCAACTGCGGATTTTTCTTCTTTTTCCCCGCCGCCCGCGAAACACATTAGCACATCTGCGCACCGCGTTTCTTCTTTTTCCCCCGCCGCCCGCGAAACACACATGTACATGCGCCGCGGCAGCAAGCGGTCCCTGCAGGCCTACCAGTCCGGCTCCGGCGCCGGCGGCGGCTGCTCCAGCGCAGACGGCAAGAGCCCGCCCAGCTCCGGCGACGAGAACGCGTCCAACGGCGTTGACCTTCTCTCCGGGCAGCACGACGACGACAAGTGGGCCGACTCGCTCGCCTCCCCGCCCCGCCCCGTGCCGGCCGCGGCGAAGCCGGCCTTCAAGCTGCGCCTTATGCACGAGGAGCCAGAGACGGCCGCCGAAGCCGCGGCGCGGGCGGCCGAGGCTCAGCAGCGCGCAGGCGCGCGCGCAGACGCGCAGGCCTGGGACTGCGCCAAGTTTCAGGTGCGGCTGCAGCAGGCCATCAAGGCGGCCGACGAGGGCGCGGGCGGCGACGCGTCGGCGGCCGCCGGCCGGGTCTCGGCTCGACTGAGCAGCGGGAAGGCCAGGGCCGCCATCAAGGAGTCGATCGACGACGGCAACCGCGACGACCGCGGCCAGGTGTGCGCGGGCCGACGGCAGGGGCAGCAGAACCACGACGGGTCGATATACGTCACCGGGCCGTGCAAGGCGCGTGCGCAAGGCGTGCTCGGCACGATGCCCACCGCTGAAGCGGAGGAGGCGCTGCTGACGACGCTTGTCACTGAGGTCGACATGTGCCTGGAGCTCCCCGCCCTGCAGGACGCTGTCGTCGCGGCGCACTCGGCGCAGCGCGCCGGCACAACCACCGTCGCCGGCGGCGGCGGGCAGATCCGTGTGGTCAGCCGGGCCGTCAAGGCGTTGCGGGAAGTTGAGCGCTTCAATGCCGCGCGCGAGAGGGGCGAGGTGCCGCCGCACGTCCTGGCGCAAGCCGCCGCAAACAAGGCGGCGGCAGAGCGGCAGCGGACGCGAGCGGAGCTGTGGGAGGAGGTTTGCGGCGCAGCGACTTTGATGGCGGCGGCGGCGGCGGCGGTGGAGGAGGAGGAGCCCGCCGGCATGGAGGAGGAGGAGGGCGACGAGGAGCCCCTCGCCGACCCCGACCAACTGGCGGCGGCGGCGGCGGCGGTGGAGGCCGAGGAGGCAGAGGGCAGCGAGGCCGCGGCGGAGGTGGGCGCCGCCAGCCACCCGCGGGCGCCGACCTGCACCCGCTTTGCGCTCGCGCAGCTGGGGCAGCTCTGGCGCGACGCTGGCCTCATCGGCCCCGCGGCCGAGGTGCGCGAGCATTTCGGCACGACTCCCCTTTGGCTGCTCCGGCACGTCGGCATGCGGCTCGCGATACAGCGGCGGCGGCTGGCGGCGGAGGCGGTGGCAGGGCTTGACTGCTCCTACCTCCTACGGCTCGGCATGCAGGACGTGCTCATCGGCTACAACGACAAGCTCGACATCGCGACCGGCATCCTCCCCTCGGGTGCTCTCTAGGAACCTCGCGCGGAATCCGCTGCACCTCATCGCCACTTTCTGTAGGCCGCGTGATGGGGCGCATCGGAATCATCAACTGCTTCAAGTTCGTCTCCTCGCTGCCGCGGGTGCGGCCGGGCGCGCTGTCCGTCAAGCCGCGGCGCAAGCTCTTCGAGGAGTACCTTCGCCTCAAGGAGCAGTCGCAGGCGGAGGTGGGGCGCGCCATCTTCGGCGAGGGCGACGGCTCGGCGCGGCTTCGCGGCGGCCTCAAGGAGTGGGCGGGGCGGCGGAGCCTCGGCACGGACGCGGTCAAGGAGGCGGCCGAGGCGGTGAGCCCGCCCCTCGCTTGCCCGCCCCGTGTCACCCCCCCCCCCCCCCTCTCCTTCACCCTCGCCCCTCGCCCCTCCCCTCCCCACCCCTTGCCCACCCGCCCGCCGGCCCCTTTCCTCAGGTGAAGACCTTCCTCGCCGCCGTCGACTTTGAGGAGCTGCGCGCCGAGGCAGGCGCGCAACAGAGCGCCAGCAGAGCGCCGCGCTCGCCTGCCGCGCGCGCACACACCACAGGCATTCAATCACCGCGCGTGTGTGTGTGCGACGCAGGGGCGCGGCGCGAGCAGGACGCCCCGGCGGCGGACGCGGGCGCGGGCGCGGACGACGAGCAGCGCAAGCTCTTCGAGGAGTACCTTCGCCTCAAGGAGCAGTCGCAGGCGGAGGTGGGGCGCGCCATCTTCGGCGAGGGCGACGGCTCGGCGCGGCTTCGCGGCGGCCTCAAGGGGTGGGCGGGGCGGCGGAGCCTCGGCACGGACGCGGTCAAGGAGGCGGCCGAGGCGGTGAGCCCGCCCCTCGCTTGCCCGCCCCGTGTCTCCCCCCCCTCCTTCGCCCTCGCCCCTCGCCCCTCCCCCCCCCCACCCCTTGCCCACCCGCCCGCCGGCCCCTTTCCTCAGGTGAAGGCCTTCCTCGCCGCCGTCGACTTTGAGGAGCTGCGCGCCGAGGCAGGCGCGCAGCAGAGCGCCAGCAGAGCGCCGCGCTCGCCTGCCGCACCCCATGGCCGATCACCCCGCGCGCCTAGCCTACTCGTGTACGACCATGACGCGCAGGTGCGGTGGATCCGGGGACTTTCACCATCTTCGCGGGAGCCGGCCTCAAGGGGCAGGGCGGCCTCCTCTTCAAGCGCGAGATCGGGTCTTTCTTCCAGAGCGACATCTCGATGCGGGAGGGCGAGGACGGGCCGATGATCCTAGACCTGGACATCGGGCGTGCGATGCATGAGCTTGCCATGAAGACCGGCGCATACACGCACCGCGCGGGTGGCGTCGAGCAGCCCATCGCAGGTCAGAGCGAGCAGGCGAAGCTCATCGTCGATGCGCTGCGCCGCGCGCTGCTTACGGACGCCACTCTGTCTTCGGCATGCGGCGGCTCGGCGGTGCTGATGGCGCAGCCATTTGTGCTCGTCGACTCTGCCGGGGAGGTGCACGGCAGACCAGACATGGTGGCTTTTGCACTGCAGCATTCCGCGGTCCTCGCGTACATCTCCAAGATCCGCACCAAGAAGGAGGAGTGAGTGCACATCTCACGCACGCCGCCATGCGATGCCACGCCAAGGCGCGACCGCGCTGCCGCGCCGCACGCCAGCGCCGCGCGGACCTGCCCGTTCGCATGAACGTTACGTTACTTCGGTCGTCCTTACTTCCATCCCCCGCCACGGCCCCGTGGAGTGTGTCTCTCGTGTATCCGTTGGCCTTGACGCGTGTGATCTCTTCTCTACGCACAATCGTTTGCTCGTGTGTGTCCACCTTGTCAGTGTCCCGTATGACACTGTTACCTCGAGTGTCTCTCTGGTGCTCCATTCTGGCAACTCCGAGTTTTTCCCGGAGTCTGAGAGCTGGTTTGGGGCAAGATCTGAGGGCTAGTCGTCTGGGGGGGCGACCCCCCCATCTTTGTTTACCGATGCGTCCTAGAATGCAAAAACGCATTCTAGGACGCACTTTTCATCTCAAAGATACCATGTGTCTCGGGTACACAGGGCATTCTAGGATGCGATGGCTGTCCTGGAGATAGCCGCGCCGTGTCTTTTGTTACGCGTTCCATCTTAGACGCCACAAGCATCTATAGATGCACAGCTGTTCTGAGATGGCACTTGCATACTAGATCACATTTTACTATACTTGGACAGGGAAGCGTCTCAGGAGACACCGTGTGTCGGGTGCACCGGGCACCGAGGGGGGAGCAGGGAGCCAGGGAGCACGAAAAGGCGGTGTGATCTCTCGGCACCCCCTGGGGGCCCTGCCTTGAGTGCTCGTGTGAGGTCTCTCCTCGCGGCCTGCCCCTCCTGGAGAACCAGGTTCTCAGCACCGCGCATGCATCTGCTCGCGCCACGAGCTCTGGGCGCAAAGACCAAAGTTGCATGCACTGCTTACGACGATCCGACGGCGACGCCGCCTCCCCCCCCCACCAACCAGTTTGCGCGGCAGGTAGCGGGGCCAGTTCGAGGCTGAGGGCGTGGGCGTGCGCCTAGACACGGAAGACAGCGTACTTCCGAGAGTCGGCCAGCCGCGCGGTTTTTCTTGTTTGACTTGGCGATTTGAGGGACCGGGCATCCCGACTCGCTCCAGCTCCAGCTCCAGCTCCAGCTAGCTCCTGCTCCTCGCTCCTCGCTCGGTGAGCTGTCGCCCACCAGCGCGCGGCGACCGCGCGCACACCGTGCCCGCCGGCTCGCCGCCCTCCTCACCACCCGTCGGCGCTGTCCGCAGGCATGTGAGTCAGAACGGCGACCGCGCAGCGCGCACGGGTGTCTTGCTCGCCACCACCCTCTCGCCCCCGCTCCGTGACCGCCGCCGCCCGCGCCACCGCCGCCGCCAACACCGCCTCGCGCCTCGCGCCTCGCTCTCGCCGCCCCCGCCGCCCGCCCTCGACCTCGCGACGGCGTCCTTCTGGGGATCTGCGGGTGGCTTGCCCGCCTCGCCGCCGCCCCCACAGCGTGACCGCTTCCGCCGCCCCCACAGCGTGACCGCTTCCGCTCGATCGGTGAGCCGTCGCCCACCACGCGCGCTCTCACGGCGACCGCGGGCCGCTCATCGCCTCCGCCACGTCGCAGGTGTTTGATCTGGGCAGGAAGCGGCGCTGGTGACGGCAACCGGCAGCCACGTGCACGGAGTGCTAAGCGAGGTGCCTGTGTCCAAGTCTGAGTAGCCCGTGGCCGTGAGTGGCGTCAGGGGCAGTGTTCTGTGACTGTGTCCTGTGCGTGCTGTTCAGTGTGAGTCGGTGCAGCGGTGGGCCTGCTGCCGCTGCCACACGTGAGAGCCGCTGTCCGTGCCCCAGCACGTTGCGCGGAGAGGCTATAGGGCGCCCACCCACGAGTGCTCGGGTGGGCGCGCCGCGGCTGTGCGAGTAGTAGCGCAGCAGCCGCGGCGCACAGCCGGGGGCACGGCCCGCCGCGCAGCGCTCGCCACACCGAGTTTTCGTTTTCTTTTTTGTTTTTATACGTGCGTGTATTTCTTGAGATCCACACGCTGTTCAAAATATGCGCGCGTCTTCTGAGACACGCGCTGTTCACAGTATGCACGGCGCGTCTTTTGAGACAGCAACGCCAATCGGAGATGCCGCGAGCAATTCGGGATGCGCGGAGCAACTAATATAGACTCGCGCATCTTAGGATGCTCGAGCATACCGAGGACAGCGAGCGTCTAAGTAGGAGGCCTACTAGACGCACTCTAATCCAGAGACGCATTCGGTAAACAAAGATGGGGGGGTCGCCCCCCCAGACGAGTGCCATTTCACTCTGACACGCTAATCTTGAAAACGCGTCCAACGGAGCTCCGTGTTGCTCCCAGCGCCCTCCCCCGCGCTTCCTGCGGCCATGGCCGATGATACTAGTATGAGAGGTCATCTGGCTACCGCGAGCGCGACCCAACTCGCCGACATCGTCCGATGATGGTGCCGCAAAGTCAGCCTCCGGAGGCTATCGTGGGTCGAGCCGGCAGTAGCCGTGACATGTGGTTCCACCACCCTCGCAGGCTTTGCCTCTGACCGCCACCGTTCCCAGGCTACCTAATGGGATGGAAAGGAAGGCTGGGCGAGCGTATAGAAGCGTGCTCGACCTCGTCGTGGCAACCTGCACGGCAGCGCTGGTAGGCGCGATGAGCGTCGTGCCACCTGACCCAAGACGGGTCGCAGGCGTCGTACCGAGCGCGTCGAGACCGTGTCCTGATGTGATCTGCACGGGTGAGTCACGTCGGCGTCAAAGGAGCGACGTGCGACCTGTCAGAGCTTGATCTCCGATCTCAGCGGCGTCGCGTCGCCTTCGGCGGCGACACTTTTGTCCCTCCCCAGGACGCGCAGAGGCAGCTGCGACCCCGCTGAGTGGACTGAAAGGCAGCCCGCCGCCAGCTGGGTGCCGCCGT